CTAGCCAGAAGCCGCGTCCACTGGCAGGGGAGCTTCCTTCGCCACTGTCCTCCAGGGATGTCCCAGAGAGGGGTTGTAGTGTCACAGCTGTCCACATAGGGTGACACCTGCATATTGGGAAGAACCTGCTATAAGCCAGGCCCACGTCTTTCCCTCCTGCCAAGTCATCAAAGAAAAGTTTCCAGTGGGCCACAGGTGTGCACTGGGGTTTGAACTCAGGGCCTCACACTTGCTGGGCAGCCTCTACCACTTAAGCCAGTCTACCAGCCCTTGTCTTTTTTTTTCTTCCTGATGGGTTTTTTGAGATAGGATCTGGTGAACTATTTCCCAGGGGCTGGCTTCAAACTCTGATCCTCCTGATTTCTGCCTTTTTTTTTTTTTTTTGTGGTACTGGGGCTTGAACTTTGGGTTTATACCTTGAGGCACTCCACCAGCCTTTTTTTTGTGATGTTTTTTTCAAGATAGGGTCTCATAAACTATTTGCCCAGGCTGCTTTGAACCTCGATCCTCCTGCTGATCTCTGCCTTCTGAGTAGCTAGGATTACAGGCATGAGCCACTGGGGTCCAGCTCAAGATCTGCTTCTCAAAAGGGTAATTGTCTATGGAGGGGAAAAGAGCCTTGCTCCAGTATCCTAAAGGCCTGAGCTGTGACTCACCCACAGAGCCTACCAAAGGCCCCCAACAGCACCCCATTTGCTACTGACACCTGGGATACCATTGGATCTGCTGAGCAGCCTGCAGTGACATCCCCAAGTAGGCTCATGTAGCCCCTCAAATCCAAGGGGCTAGCTGGCTGGGTGTTGTGCCTATTTCTTGGTTGTAAGGACAAGCCAGATGTGACAACTAATCTTCCTCTTAGCAGGGACATCTCAACATTCCTCACATGCTGGCCCTCTAGAAATTTCTTAGGAGGCCCCTGAATTTTGGTTGGGTTTATTTCCAGCTCTGACATGCAAATGTCTTACCAGAAAACTCTAAAAGCTTTTTGTGTGTGTGGTGCAGGGGGTGGGATTGAACCCAGATCCTTGTACATGCTAGACAAGCATTGTACCACTGAGCCACACTCCAGCCCTGTCTAAAGCAGTTGCTACTTTCGCTTCCTTGGTCCAGTCTGCACACTGTCACCAATGTACTGGACCAGTGTGATAGCATATGGAAGGGAAAAGCTATCAAGAGCCCTGTGAATTCAATTATGACAGGTCTGGAGAGTTGGCGTGCCCCTGAGGCAGGGTGGGGAAGATGGGTTGCTGGCTTCACTAGCTGAAAGCAAGTTGTTCCTGGTGGCCTGATAGACAGGGATGGACAAAGGACATTGCTAGCCCCATGGCTGGGTACCACGTGCCAGGGGATGTGTTATTTGCAGAAGGCAGGAAACCACAGGTGGTGGAGCAGCTGCAGGTGGAGAGTCCACTTGCTTAAGCTTTCTGACTTCCATATGGACGCATAGGAGGGGAGGTGGTGCAAATGACTCCCCTGCCTCTTTCAAGTCCTCGATAGTGGCTATCTTCTGGTTTACTGTTTCCTAAGCAGAGCTGGTTCTTTCTGAACTCAGGGCTTTGCTCTTGCAAAGCAGGTAGGTGCTTTACCACTTGAGCCACACCTCTAGTCCCTTTCACTCTAATCATTTTGGAAATGCATTTTCTCTAACTACTTGCTTAGGCTGGCCTTGAACAGCGATTCTCCCAATCTCAGCCTCCCAAGTAGCTAGGATTACAATCATGAGCAATGGCAGAGCTAGTGCTAGGGCTCCTACTCAGTCTTTCCCTCAGGCTAGCCCTCCGTTCCACAGGTCAGAAAAGCAGAGTAGTGATTCTGCCAGCTGTTGACTATGTCTACTCCAACTGCATGTTCTAGAAGTGGGGAAATAACAGGCTCCTCTGTGAGACAGACCTGCACTAGAAGCCCACTGTCACCTGACCTCCATAGGCCAGCTCTGACTGCAGGGCCACAGTGATATCTTGGGGCTCCTGCAATGTGTCAGTTCACAGTCAGCGGCCAGGGGACTCCAAAAGTTCTAATTATTTCCTTTTCCCCATTAACAGTCACCTTGGTAAAAGATCAGAGATCCTTTTGGAGAGGACTGGAGAAAGATTAGCAGTGTAGATTTTTTGCAGCATACTGGGGTCCTTCCTCAAGGGGACCCAGCACCCTTTTCATTCAAGGGGTCCTGGGTGTTTAAGAGGGTTCAAGTCTGGGAATCGGTTAAGGGACTGTGACCCTTTATTTTTATGACTTGAGTTAGATTTCCACTGACTTAGGACCAATCAGATGAAGGAAGGACTCAGCAGCCTTCCCACGTGTTTCACTTCCAGGAAGCCATGAGGATCAAGCCAACACCAGGGTCTGTGCAAGTCTGGTCCATTACGGTGACCACGCCCACCTTGCCTGTGACAGTCCATTGCTACTCAGTGGTCCCAGCCATCCCAGAACTCAGTTGTTCCTACTGCATTTAGGTTTCTCAGTTCAGAGACTGCAGCTCCCACTCGAGGTGTGGCCTATGGAGAGTGATCACAGAGCCCTTCAAGAACACTGAGTTCCCGCAAAGTTTGCTCATAGTCATGGTGGAAGCTGTGTCTTCTGGACTCCTAGTGTGGGTAGGTAGGCTTTAAATGGGGTCCACTCAAACACTTCAGTCTCCCTAAGCCATTGAACTCCTTCCTCTACAGTAAACCAAAGCACATCCACCATTGCATGGTCACGGTGGTTCTCTTTCGGATGCAACCAACCAAGCACCCTGAGTGCAGCACTAGTGCACCCTGCCTAGCGAGCGTGTCACAGTTGGGATGTTGTGAGCACAAAATGCACACTGGATCTCCAGGACTCACACATTCTCCTGAATTCCTCTGTTGGAAGGGCAATCCCCAAGTCACGTGTTAGTCGAACTGGGAGGTGGAGCCTGTGAGAGGCAATTGGGTTGTAAGGGTTGTACCACCATGAACGGATTAATCCATGAGTGGATTAGTGGATGAATGGGTCATGGAAGGAGTGGCTTGCTCATAAAAGGAGTTCTCTGGTGCTTGTTCTGTCTTGCCATCTGCTGTCCTGTTCCACCTCAGGACTCTAGAGTCCCCGTCACATACAGCCCCTTCACCTTGAACGTCCCAGCCTCAGAACTACAACAAGTAAGCTTCTTTTCTTTGTAAATTACTCAGCTTCACATATTCTGCTATAGTAGTCAGAAACAGACTAAAGCTAGGCATGGTAGTACTACCTGTAATCCCAGTACTGGGGAAGTGGAGGTAGGATTGAGAGTTCCTGGGCAACCTGGGCTACATAGTGAAACTCTGTCTTAGAAACACAAAACAGGTCTGGCAGAGTGGCTCAAGGGGTAGAGCACCTGCCTACCAAGTTCAAGGGCCTGAATTTAACCCCCAATACCTGGGGGAAAAAAAGACTAAGCCATAACTCATTCAATAAATTCAGCGTGATCCAACTTAACGCTCTGTCCAGCATTGTCTCACACTCCTTTCTTTGGCATTGCTGGGGGTGAAACCCAGGCCTCCTGCAGGCTAGGCAAGTGCTCACCCCTGAGTCATGCCCCCAGCTCCTGTTCCCACTCTTCATTTCCACTCCCACTCATGTTCCTTGGTGTTCTGCCTCATAAAATGGAAAACTTAAGGAGCTCCTTTGGAGCGTAACATTGCTCTTCACTCCTGAACCTCAGGGGGTGTTGTGAGAGCCTCACGGTCATCACCAGTCCTCAGAAGAAGTTTGCAGGGTCCTAGTCTTGTGGGACTGAGCCCCTCACCAGTGGGATCTGTGCTAACGCCAGGTACTTACTATCAGAATTGCTTGGTGTGGAAACCCCCACACACTGGGTGTCAGAATTGCTGCAGCAGAGGGGAAAGAAGAGTGTAAGAGTGTGCCTGGCTTCCCTGGCGCTGTGACTGCTACTGGGATTGTTAAAAATTGAAACTTTGTTGGGTGCCAGTGGCTCACGCCTGTAATCCTAGCTACTCAGGAGGCAGAGATCAGGACGATCATGGTTCAAAGCCAGCCCCGGGCAAATAGTTTCTGAGACCCTATTTCGAAAAAACCCATCACAAAAAAAGGCTGGCAGAGTGGTCCAAGGTGAAGGCCCTGAGTTCAAACCCCAGTACTGCAAAAAAAAAAAAAAAAAGAAAGAAAGAAAAGAAAAAAGAACTGATACTTCACTAGAGCAGGCTAATTCCATAGACAAAACTTTAATGCAGAGGATGAGTTTGTATCCAGCCCACCCAGCTAAAGGGGTTAGGAAGTGAACACAGCGACATTTCCTGTGGGAGGGGCCACAAATGCACAGCAGCCACTTAGACACATAGGGAGTTAACTCACCCTCAAGTGCCCCATGCCACAAGATCAGGGCAGGGAGCATCCCGTGGGAGTCTCCCACCACCAGGCCCTGCACCCGGCAAACTGACCGTGGGGTAGGCATGCACTTGCAAGAGTCACCACCCTCCACTGCTGGATGCCCCACCCTCAGCCGGGGTCTCTGGTTTCCAGTTTGGACTCTCAGTAAAGGAGCAGGTGCACTAGAATCCATGACCCAGAGCACAAGGCTGGGGAATGGCATTCCTGAAAGAGACCCTGCATGTCCTTTGTCATCCACACCCTGCCCCAGGCTCAAAAGACATTCAGGAACCCAGACTTCTCAGTGTGACAGCGACAGAGGTCCTGACGTGCTATCTCCTCATCGGGAAGTCACCCAGCCCAGAACAGCCTGGCACTCGGCTTGGAATTGCACACCACCTATGGGAAAAGTGCTTCTTCCTCCTGGAAGGCAACATGCCTTGGGTCACCGCCGATCAGCCGGTCACCAGCGTGGTTCCCCAGCCCTGCCCAGACCGAGCTGCACACCTGAGCAGGTGAAAAAAGTCAGGGCAATCGTGGGGTGAGCCAGGGAAGCGTGAGTTCGGAGGAACATCCAACCAAGTGGGAGGCTGGAGCAGCCCTGGGGTTGTTGGACTTCTCTCCAGCCTAGGCCTGAGCCACCCTTGGCCCCCACCCCCCTCGCCTCTTACCGTGTCCCCGGGCACCTCAGCCTGTGCTCATTGGGCAATGACTTCAGCCACATCACGCTGGAGGCCTGGGCCAGCTTGGAATCCAAGGGGCTTCGGGCTCTTGACTTTTCCTTCCTCTCTTAGGCATGACTCAGCGGGCCTGGCCCCGGGCTGTGGCGAGCATTCTGCTTTTACGAAATAGCTGTCCTCACTCAAACCGCAGGCCCCTCCTTGGCCTCTCAACCCTCTGAAGGTTTGGGTTCAGATGTTGGGCACAGGGACCCCTCTGCTGCTGGGACCGATCACTGCTCAGAAGGGTGTAACAGTGGAGAGGTTCCCCCAGACTCCTTCTGCCTTGCATGCTGCCCTTCAGAGCTCTTCTGTCTCCCACCCCACCCACCCCTCCTGTCTCCTCCCTTTTCCTCTTCTCTAACCACAAAAGTGACCTCATAACCAATTTCAACTGGTTAGAGATGGGACACATGTCTTTTCCAAAGGAGACTCATATTTCCGAAAAAAAAGCCTAAAATAGATCATTCATTCCTTCATGGAGAGGCAGAAGAGCAAATAAGATCATTGATTCAGCTGGGTATAGTTGTGCACACCTGTAATCCCAGTACTCTGGAGGCAGAGACTGGAGGATCATGAACTGGAGTCCAGCCTGTCTCAAAACAAAACAAAAAGCAGCATGAGACCAGGAGTTTAGACAGTCTGTGGATGTGTCCAGTGAGGTCCCCCAGCTGCACGCACAGTGCTGTGTGCCCAGAGGATAACGCATTGAGGTAGCTGACACTGGCACTTTCCTGGGCACAGGAGGAACCTTTGGGGAGTGTCAGGCAGAATCAGGCATCAGCTGCTGGGAGGTGGTGGGGGAGTGGCTGGCTCAGGGGAGCCAGGAAGAGCACACAATGAGAGGCTGGTGCCATTGGCCAGAAGGGAGGTGACAGAGACTGAGAAAGACAGGAAAGGAGACTTGTGTGGCCTCTGTGACAGACTGCCTGTCAGGATTTCGAAACCGAAGGTCATAGAGGTCAGAGCAGTGCTCACGTCAGGGCCAGGCAGGGCACTGACTTGGACAGGACAGGGAAAGCTTCCTGACTGTCCACGTTACTGCCCTGTCTGGGCAGTTGTTAATTTATAAAGAATGGAAGTTTAGGCAGGTCCCAGTGGCTCACCTCTGAAATCTCACCTACTCAGGAGGCAGAGATCAGGAGGAGCTAGGTTCAAAGCCAGCCCCAGGCAAATAGTACTTAAGACCCTATCTTGAAAACACCCTTCACAAATAAAGGCTGGTGGAATGGCTCAAGTATAGAACACTGCCTGGCAAGCATGAGGCCTTGAGTCCAAACCCCAGTACTGCTAAAAAAAAAAAAATAATTATATATATATATATATATATATATGTAAAATCGAAGTTTATTTGGTATCTGACTCAGGTTCTGGAGCCTCCATTCTGCACGGTAACATGGCGGAAGGCATCACACGGTGAGAAAGAGGCCAGAGACTGCTGGATTTTAAACAAAGCCACTCCCACAATCACCCATTAATCCTCAACCCTGACACCAATCACCTCCCAAAGGTCCCACCTCAATTGGGGTACACTGTCAAAGCACAGAGGAGATGAGGAGTTCCTTGCCATGCTTGGTCACCTGTGTTGCCCATGTGTACCCCAGGATAGACGTGGCTGTGTGAGTACCTTTGCACACACACAAGTACAGTTTCCAGGTCAGAACGCGAGCCTGGCTTTCAGATCTTTGACTCCCATTGCCCGCACAGTTTCATCCGTTTACATCCTAACAGCATTCATTCATTTTTTCACCCGGTAATTCACTCACTGAGTGCCAGCTCTGCGCCGGGCCCTGTCCTGGGCACTAAGGACTCACAGGCAAATGAGACCAGGAGCCAGTCTCCCTCCATCACAGCCCGGGGCAGGAGGCAGTGTGGGAACAGGGCCCTGTTGTTCTGAGGGGATCTTTCTAACCTGGGGGTAAGGGTTGCAGAGACTGAAAAAGTGTTGCCCACAGCGTTGACCTGAAACTAAGGACCAGCTGCTTTTAGTGACTTTTCTTAAAAACTCAGAGAAAAATACACTAGACAGCGAGAGGGCTAAGAAACCTCCAGGGGGAAAAGCCTTCCTGGGAAGGGAACAGAATGTGCAAAGTCCTGCACTGAGCAGCAAAGGAGGGGAAGGCTGGAGGGAGGGGAGTGGGCAAGGAGGTCAGAGCTAGGCAGCAGGTCTGGACTTCAACCAGGAGAAATTATTCTATTTTATTAATTTAATTTTTGCATGGGAGGGGCCTGGAGCACTGTGCCAGGAGCCTCCATCTTTTTTTGTTTGGTTTTTTTTGCAGTACTGTAGTTTGAACTCAGGCCTATGCCTTGAGCCACTCGACCAACCCTTTTTTGTGTGATGGGTTTTTTGAAAGAGGGTCTTAAAATCTGTTTGTTCCAGTTGGCTTCAAACTGAGATCCTCCTGATCTTCGCCTCCTCAGTAGCTAGGATTACAGGTGTGAGCTACCACCACCTGGCTTATTTTATTAATTTAATTTAATTTTATATTTTATTTTATGCTGGGGTTTGAACCCAGGTTCTAGTACATATTAGGCACCTATCACTAAACTACACCCCTGCCTCATGGGAGGATTTTAAGTAACTGGAAGATACTGGTTTCTTTTTCTTTTTCTACTTTTGAGGCAGGGTTTCACTAGGTAGCCCAGGCTGGCCTGAAATTTGTGGTCCTCATGCCTCAGCCTCCCCCAGGCCAGGATCACAGGCAAGCATCACCATACCCTGCAAAGATATGGTTTCTGAAACTTCCTCTGGCTGTGGTAAGAGGGGAAGAGCGGGGCAGGCAGGGAGAGGAGCCGAAAGCCCACAGAACAAGTGAGATGTCATCTTTCCTTGGGAATTTGCATTTCAGTCCCTCAAATGTCCAGCTGGGACTAGCAGCAGCCCAGCCAAAAAAAACGGTGTGGTTTTTATCCTACATAAGGCCAACGGTCACTCTCTGAAACAAGAGAGGGACCTGTGTCTCCCATCTCCTGGAAGGACCTGGGGTGGGGTCCAGGGAAGGGATCTTTAGGTCAGAGGGCAAAAATGGCCCCAGGGGATGCTCCTTAATAACAGAAAGGGAAGAATGTTTTCTAGTGACTGGTAGCCTCTGGGGAACACTATCTCTGAGAAGATCCAAAACTTGGTGGGGTAGGTGAGGCACACAAAGTGCTTCAGGTATCCCAAGGACGAAAGGCTAGATGCCCCTTTCCTGCAGGAGGCCTGGCTGAGTCAGCTCAGCAGCCATAGTGAGATGCCATAGACAGGCCTATGTGAGGGAATGTACTTCTCCCACTTCTGGGATCTGGGAAGTCATCTAACTGGTCCTCACATGGCAAAGAGAGAAGGGAAGCAGGCCTTCTCACAGGGTCACTAATCCCCTCCTGAGGGCCCCATCCTTAGGACCTCATCATCCAAACTGATCACTTCTCAAAGGCCCACCTCCCAGGCCATCTCACTGGGGGTTAAGACTTCAACTATGGATTCTAGGGGTTCACAGTATAGCCCATAGCAATCCCCAAGGGGTGTCTGCCCACCCATATGGCCTCCCCTCAAAGCTGCACCCTACACCAGCAAAACGAGGCCAGTTTCTAGAGACATTTAACTCGCCTGTGTGCCAGGCATGGAACTGAGTTTGGGGCACAACAGTGAATAAGGTGACGGGGGAGGGGGAGTGCCTTAGACCTGGTATCGCCACCTGACATGAGTTCCCACACCTGCCACAGCTGGGAATTGAGGAATAGCCAGCTGGAGCCAGAATCCAGAAACAGGCTAATGTGGCCCATGACAGTCTCAGAGTGACAGACCCAGATGCTGGCTCATTTACAGCCCTCAGAGCACAAGATGACCTTTCAGTCACTGTGGTTATCAAAACTCTTCTCAGGGCTTAGCTGTGGGTTGTATCCAATCCACAACTTCTACCTGTCCCCCAGACCCTTGACCTAGTGCTATGGGGAGGCAGGGGTCCCTCTCCATGGCCTGCAGGACTCATGGGTCTGCTGTCCCTCTTTGGCTGCTGACCTGGCCTGTGGTCAAGGGGCTCAGCTCTGTGTAGTAATGGGACAGATAGTCCAACATGCTATTTTTTTTGGTGGTACTGAGGTTTGAACTCAAGGCCTCATGCTTGCTAGGCAGGTGCTGAAATGTTGCGGGAATCTCAAGCTGAGATATGGAACACTGAGGCAGTTAAGCAGGAAGGAACGTTTTATTGTGCTGGCAGACTCAGCGGACGCGTGTCCAAAGGCTGAGCCCCGAGAACAAAGGGGTCTCACCGTATATACCCTTGCAAGCAGGTTGCAGAAGCAATAAAATTTAAAAAAACAAGGCTTAACCCACATATGGCTACATGCAATTGTACAGGCTACTTCACCCTAGTGCTAAGTGCCCCTCTACTTCCAGTGCTACCTGACCCTCTCCATGTTCAGATCCCTCAGGTTTTATCTCTCTGCTATGCCATCCCTACCTCCCTGCCACGTTATCAGAACTCAGGCCTTGTCTGTTTTCTTTTGACTCTCCTCCCTGCTACCTTACCACTTAATCCACTCCTCCAGTCCTGCTAGTTCATTTCTTAAAAGAACAATAGCTGCCCAGCGCCCTATAATCTTAGCTACTTGGGAGGCTGAGATCTGGATCTTGGTTCAAGGCCAGCAAGAAAAGAATGACAGCTATTGTATCAATTACTTTATTATTATTATTATTATTATTATTATTTTGTAGTACTAGGGCTTGAACTCAGGGACTTCACCTTGAGCCAGTCCACTAGCCCTATTTTGTGATGGGTGTTTTCGAGATAGGGTCTCAGGAACTATTTGCCCAGGCTGGCTTTGAACCTTGATCCTCCTGATCGCTACCTCCTGAGTAGCTAGAATTACAGGCCTGAGCCACCTGCGCCTGGCTCAATTACTTTTTTGTATAAAACAAAAGCAATCATCCATGTATGGTGACAGGTGCACATTTATATAAGCAGAGAAAAAGATCTGGAAGGAGGGACACCCAACGAGTAACAGTGTGCATCTCAGGGGACAAGGACTGGGCTAGACAAGGTGGGAGGCCTTCTCTCCTTAGTCAGCACACATCTGCATTGTTAGAAATTTTTTTTTTTAAGTGTAAAGTGGGAGAGTTTATTGAGATAGGAAAGTGTAAAGCGGGAGAGTAGAGTTGGTGGGAGGTTTAAGGAGGGGTGCCTCTGGAAATTTCCTTCCTGGTTCATACTGCATGCTGTGCAGTCTTGCTCTGTGGACTGGTGTTTGTCATAGAAATGGAACATACAGAGAGACCTGTCT